ACAGTGACCTCTGGTGGTGGATCCCAACGACAGAGTTTTGGAGAACAATTCACAACCTTTTCCTAGGCCCGACACTGGAGACTATGGAAGCAATGTTGGTCCACGCTAGCAAACAGCTGTTATTAACAATGGAAGTCAAAAATAAATATTGACTAAACTAGTGTGTTTCTTTTTGGAAATCTAGCCAGTCACTGTCACTTAAAATAATCATAGCTGCCCCCTTCTGTCAAAAAATAGTGTCTTATGTGGTTCTCTTAGTAGGGCAGTTAAAAGATGGCTAGGCACATAGGTTTCATACCCACCCTACTTCTGGACTCAAGCAAAATATAGGGAAGAGGGCAATTTGAATGAAGACAGATTGCCCTGGGGTAAACAGCTCTGTGGTCAAGAAAGTACTGCATTCGTTATATAATGCAGTGTGGGCCCTAAAGCAAGAGACAATCCCCCAGCTTATTTATAAATATAATTTAGGAAGCTGTCAGTATAATTTTAACCTCTATGATATTTCAATAGTGAAAGTGATACATTATAAGACTGGATAAACCAATGTTTTTAAAACACTATGTGGTTTTATCAACATTTCCTAAACTGTGATTTAAATGTTAAAGAAAATCTCTCAAGAGAAAATACCAAGAAACTTATACCCAAAATACACATTTTCTCACCATTTCTTTCAAATTGGATAATACCTAAAAGTTATTATTCCTTTTTTGTTTTAAAATCACTAGTTTATTTCCTCTCCTACAGGTTCTTTTTGAGATCTCAATTTTTACAAGCACAAAATCATTTCGGATATTCCTATAAGTAAAAGATAACTGAGTAAAGAAATTGCTGGTGCAGCTGGATGTCTCAAGAAAAATAGAAATTGAGTATGTGGAACTTCTCTTAGAAGTTAAGTGGTTCATAAAATACTGCCTCCACTGTTTTCTCTCCTGAGCCCCTTTTTTCTCTAAAGAGAAAAACATTTCTAGTTTTTCATAATGTTTGAAATATCAAACACCAATATTTAATTTCTAATAAAAGTACACTATTTTCAAAGTTATAATTTTTCAAAATGGCAACCTAGTTTACTGTTACCCAAAATTACCATTTCTGCTGATTTGTCAAGGAATCGAAGACAACGTGATAAAACGTGCTGCCCAAAGACATGACCACAATGAAGGCCTTGGAAATGTTTTGGTTTTTGCATCTAAAATCCAATCTAATAGTTCTAAAAACTGTTGTTTTATTTCAGTGTCTATCCCTTTACCTGCAAGTGTACTTGCTCCTTACAGCCCAGTGTATGTTGATGAACAGCTTGCATAAATAATTGAAATTTAAATGAGTGAAGACAGCCTAATAATGTCCAAGACACAGATTTGGCCAATGAGCACTTTGGGCCAGAGACCTTCTGTGAGACATTGCACAGATGTAAGGAACTCACCACATAGTTCCCAAACTCTCCCTACCTACCAACTTATCTAAAAATGTATTTAAACCTTGCTATTTACCCTTTTGACTTTTACGACTTCTTGGGCTAATAATGTGCTCTCTATACCTACTTGAATCACGTGCCAAGAGTTATAGTAATTCCTTTTATTTATCTGAAATGATCTGGTCTTTTATCTTAAAACTAAATAAATTCCCTACTTTTAATATTTTCGGATTTTTCTTTAAAGTATGTGTGTATCCATCTTACTCAATGGCCCTCATTATTTGATTTTATCTTACTTTATTTTATAGACTTTGAATCACCAGTAACAACTTGAAATGTCTGCCCATAACAGACTGAGTCAACTAAATAAGAAAAATAAAAATCCCATCTCAGGAGGTAGGAAATAACAGCAAATAGGCTATAGTGCTACCCTGGGGCTCAGAATATAGCACCATTATTCTGGGAAATTGCAGCTGAGGAGTTTGGAATTTTATTAGGAAATCCTCACATTTAAAAGCACCATCAAGAAGTTGTCTGATGGATTTCTAATTGGCTGAGATTTCAGCTCATTAGTGATATCCATGGACAAATAAGTGCCTGATGGTTTGTTTTGTCTTTGTGTCTATTTCCCTTTCATGTCTAATCTCAATTATCTCCCTCCCTCCATGTGTGTGTGTGTCTTTCTCTCTTTCTCTCTCTCCCAGCACAGCCCACCTCCCTCCCTTCCTCTCTGTATTTCTATTACTTTCTACATCTGTCTTTGTGTGTGAGAGAAAGAGTGTTTTCTTCTGCACTATCTTTGTATCTAGGTGGATGTCAGTCTGTATGTTAATCTGTGTGCATCTGTATGTACTGTTTCTGTTTCATATGACTCTCACTAAAACAAGAAAATGATGTATCAGAAAGAGAAGCATTTCATGGACTAAGACAATCCCAGCCTATCTCTCCAATTCTTAAATATACTGGGAGTTACCACTCCTTTTCTTTCTTTTTCCACTAAAACTCTACCAACACTTCACTTTCAATGTTGTTAAATTAGTGAATAATGAAATCTTCACTGTGACAAACTCGATCTGCCTGTAAGAATTCTGAAGGGAATTTTCTCTGTTAATCCCAATTAAATAATTTCTCAGAGCAAATTGATCTATTTCTCTGCCGAATCATATGGAAATGGCAACAACTATGGGATACTCCCACACATTTATGGGAGTAAATCTTTTTAGTACTCTGTAATTAAAAAATTACAGGTGTAATTTTACCACCTGTACAAGTGGTCCAGAGACTTTCCAGTGTTTATTACATACACAAGCACATATACTTACTTCAGTTATCACATTTCAAACAAAGCTCAGAGGTTTTGAGTAGTAGTATTAAAAGTTAGCCATAAGCAATTAGAGGTGGTATGTAAAATGACAAAACATAAATGTTCACTCACACTTGGTGTTATCCATGGAAAGAAATGCTAGGCCAATAAAGCAATTATGAACACAACATGTGAAAAAGATAGAACATTCACCAGCCTGGATGGAAGATGTAAAATGGAGGCAACAGAAGCAGGTATTTCTAAGCCACACAAGGTAAATCTTAATTTCATGGTATAGCTGAAATAAAAGGTAATCTAAAAACTGACTCATAGTTCCAGACTGTATAAGAAGTTTCAACTGAAGATGCTGTATTAGGAAACTTCAATCAAGGAATTATCATCCGCTTTCTGGTTGCCCTGAAGAGCAATCAAGAACCTATAGGTTTTATTCTTGATTATGAAAAGTCCTTTCACAGACTAAAATATAAGGAGCTGAAATAACTCAAGAGGATGAGAAAGCTGAAATAAGGCTAATGTATCTTAACTGATTCTAAGAACCTTTAAATATCCCAAACTGTCTGTTTTAACAGTAATATCCCCTTGTTATGTCTGGAATAATATTAACAGAAGAAGGTAATAGATAAACATAGAAATTGCCTACCATTACAAATTTGTATTTTATATCATCATGAAAAAATCAAAAACACATTTGAAATCACACTGGAATAGCTAAAAATATTACAGGTTTTTAAAAATTAGATCCAACCCAAAAAGTCTACTCTAGACTGTACAGCACCAGATGTTGACCCTGTGGAAGAAATAAAGTCACATGTCAGAGCTTTATGAAAAACAGCTCAGGGCATTTAAATATATATAGTCCCCAAACCAGGGGAAATATGTGCAAGCCCAGTTTTAGAGGAGATCCTCATGTGAGAATTAATAGCATCTAAGCTACCAACCCAGGGAGAGCATAATTGTGTTTAATTGTTTATTATCATTTGAGTGTGCTTTGCTCTTGCCCACTAGGCAGGGAACTTCTTGAGAACAGAAGTTTCTTAATCATTTTTTTATTCAAAGGACCCCACGGAGTGTCTGTTGTATAAGGCACCCCCACCAAAAAAATATTGTTTTAATGAATAAACAAATGAATAAATAAACAACTATGAAGCTGCAGAGAGTATGTCAATTGCTTTGGTCCAAGCTCCACTGTGAGACCAACATGCAGAAATGTCTCTCTCACAATTCTCCAAGCAAGGGATTTAAAAACAAAATAACAGCCCCCAGAGGGGAAAAGGGGAGTACTTTACAGGATACTTTACCTATCTTCCTTATAAAATTGAAAATTACATAAAAGAACTTAAAACAAGTGGAAGATGTAGAGATTTCAGTAAACTGCAAAGTTTATTAGGTCTTCAAATGTGAAATATATAACCATCCCCATTCAGAGTATATTGGAGGAAATGAATGCATAAGTAGATGACATTTTAAAGACAATTTAAGGCAAGAAAACCTTCACATCGGTATCAAGGTAAAAATGACACTTTTAACATTCTTTCTCTAGTTACTTTAAAAGCACAGAAGCTATTGCTTCCCTTCTACATTTCTCCTGTTTAAGTCAAATGAAATATCATATGAATCATTGTAAGTCAATGCAAATTTTTTTTTAAAAAGAAACTTTCAACATATATTTGACCATAGTAATTGTCTTCCCATTTTCCAAGTAGTCTCTTCATTAGGTTCAACCTCAAGTACTCCCCCTAGCACAAGGTTCCTTCCAGCGGTGCCCATTGGGCCCAAAAGCCAAATCAGAGACAAAATCTTATTAAGTATCCACTTTCGCAGCCATTCCCAACTTGAAGGAAGCCCTTGCACTGAGATTCAACTCTAAGAATTTGTTCAGTCTCTGCAACCTACTTGGGGAAAAAAAATGTAGAAAGAGGATGGACAAGAAATATAGCCCTCACCCAACCGAAACTCAACGCTATTCTCCAGGTGTACCTGCACCCTACCCGCGGCCCCCCGCCACCCCCCCGCCCCCAGCTTCCTCCTGTTTCTGGCTCTGGACAGGTGGGAAGGGGGTGAGCACGTCCTGAGGAGGAGGCACTACTAACTTTCCAGCACCACTCATTCCCACCCCCATCCAAAATCAGGTCCAGCTAGTCACTGAAGCCACCAGGCTGGGCTGTCTGCAACCCCCGCCCCCTCTGGGAGAGGGATGGGATGGGGGCGCACACGCGTGTGCAGGATAGAAGTAGGGGTGTTCTGAACTGCAACTCTTCTTACCACTGGAGCGCCTGACGATGTTCTCCAAAAATGTGTTCTGAGGTGCCACCAGCCCTCTCTTGCCCCCCGGCATCCTGGGTCTGGAGAGCGGCGGCCAGGATCCGCGGCGGGGGAGGGGGGGATGCAGGAGGAGAAGGTGGAGGAAGAGTAGGAAAAGGTGGAGGAGAAGATGGAGCCGAAAGAAGAGGGGGTGCGGCGGCGACGGGGTCCCCTGACTGTGTCTCCAGCCCAACCCGGATGAGCAGCTCTGGGGAGGAGGACCAGGCAGTTCATGGTAGTAGCGCTCCCCCGGCCGCAGCTGCCCAGACTGTGGCGGTGCCGCACACGGGGCTCGGGAACTGCAGGCTCCGCGGGGCACAGTGCGCCTGCGCCGCCCCCGCTGTCGCTGTCCCGCCGGTGCTGCTGCTCAAGCTACTGCTGAGGCTGCTGCTGTGGTGGCCGCCGCCCGGGCGCGGGCTCAGCATTTCTCCCCCTGCCCCGTGCCGGAAGGTCAGGGGAGCGGGAAGGGCCAACTCAAGCGCCTCTTCCAGTCACTGTTAGCCCAGACCCAGACACCTCCACTGCGCCTTCCTTCTTCCGTTGCCCCAGCCCACCCTTTCTCTTTGCAGCTGGATCACCGCTGCCCCGCGGAGCCCAACTTCTGCGGGGCTGTGCGCCTTGTGTCCACTCCTCTCTCCCTGGAGATCGACGCAAATGCTCGCCGTCCAGTGGGGCCGTGGAGTGGGAGAGGAAGTGGGAGAAGCCAGCAGGATGCCAGAGGGGCCAATGGGCAATCGGAGGGATCACATCTCAGCTTCTCCCGGAGGGTCCCGAACCTCAAAGGCGTCTGCTGGGTTGCAAGTGCTCCCGCTCCGCTGAGGCTGAGCACCGAACAAGGACTGCCTGGGCGGTGCAGGGGGGACGCACCGCAGCCACCTAACGCTGCTGTGCCTACCCCACCCCACCCCCCTATTCCGGCTTCGGGTCCCGAAGCTCCACACAGGAGCTTTCAGCACCAGTCCTACCCCGCGCAGCGGAGTCTGAGCCAGAGAGGGTCCGCCTAGGACTGGGTCTGGCAAGAGCAGCCGCCGCACAGGGGCGCTTCCCCAGAGCTGCGGAGCGCAGGAGGCAAGTGGGGAGCCTGGCTGCGAAGTTGCTGAAAAGGTTGCACTTAACGCAAGGAGTAGGGAAAGAGGGTGAATAATTCACACCCGAAAGAGGGTGCAGCGGGCATCAGTTGCGGTGGAAAACCAGTGAAGGTGATGGGAGTAAAGCTGAGCAGGGCTGGAAGTGCGAACAGGATTGTTCTCTAGCAACCCTCTAACCACTCGTAACCGGGGACAGGAGTGCAACCGTTAGAAACAGAGTCCAAAAGCCAGAATTTACCACGGAGAGGGGACAATGGCATACATGCGAATGCATCTGAGAGAGACGTGGAGAAAGGGGGGAGCTCGTGCCGCAGCAGCTTTTCTTCCCTAAGCCAGTGGTTCTCAGAGTGGTCCTCACTGGCAGCACCTCCCAAGAACTTGTTAGAAATGCAGGTGATGGGGCTCTATTGACCCCAGAGCTAGGGAGCCTGGAACCAAGGGCAGGGACAACAATCTGTTCTATCCATCCTTAGAACAACCCATCCTTAACAGCTGATTTTCCCCCTCCAGGCAAACACATTGCACACTAGAATCTGAAAAGTGCAGATAGAAGGCCTCCTCTCGGGAAGCTTCAACTGGGCCTGTTGAGAAAGGACAACTACATAAGCAGGGTCAAGGAGTGGGGACAAAATGTGTGCTGAGACAGGATCAGCGGCTGGTGGTGAGGGGAAGCATGAAGCAGTGAAGGCAAAAGGAAAGCTGGACAGGGAGCCTCCTTTACTTGAGTCAGAATAGGCTCCTGTGCTAAGTGATTCCCTGTTAGAAATGGTCAAGGCTAAATTGCCCAGAGGCAGCAGGAATCCCCAGGCTGGGGTCAAAGGAAACATCTGCTCAGTGCCAGACCAGGGCTGGAAGGAAAAAAAGGGCGGGGTGGTGTCTGATTTTGTTTGGAATCCCTAGATCAGGGGTCCCCAACCTCCAGGGCCACAAACCTGTACCAGGCCTATTAGAAACCTGGCCACACAGAAGGAGGTGAGCTTGAATGCAATGTGCTTGAATCATCCTGAAACCACACCCCCCTCCCCAACCCTGGTCTGTGGGAAACTTGCCTCCCATGAAACCAGTCCCTGGTACCAAAAAAAAGTTGGCGACCACTGCCTAGATTACCAGTCACTGGCCTGAAGTGACCATCACTCTCTCTCCTGAGCACCCCAGGGTAAGGGCTGCAGCCTGTGACTGACAGACACAAACACTCAACCAGGATCCAGGTTTTAGCTTAGGGTATGTTCCCTCTGCTCTTGGAAACGTCCGCCTATTTGCCCAGTTGCGCAGCTGAGCAAACCCAGAAGGCTGACTGGAAGCAAAGAGCAGTTTGCTGTGCTACAATTCTTTCCTCAAAAAAACAAGAGACTGTGGCATAACACTAGGCTATTTGAGCTTTCTACCTAAAGCACTGCTGGCAGTGCCAGTTTCTCCCCTTACAGCTAGAATGTCTTCTAAATACGTGGGTGACTTTAATTAAATAACAAGGGACTTGGGCACAGATTGGACCCTTGTGGCTCACCTGCCTCTTACAGGAGTCAAAGACATAGCTGAGGTTACAGCTCCTTCCCTGCAGCTGAAACAGAGGGGAACTGCAAAGACATCCTTAACAGCTGGATTTCCCCCCTCAAGTTAGTTCTGTGTGACCTATGTTCATGGCGAGTAGGCTATTGTGCAGACCGATCATGGGCCTTCACCAGCGATTTTCAACCGATGTGCCTCAGCACACTGGTGTGCTGCAAGAATTGTTAAAACGTGCACTACCTGACTGTTTGGGTAGTCAGAGGCACTGACCTCTTGTTCCTTAAGTTTTCAAATTAAAAAATTATTAACAGCCAAAACACCAATAGCTATTGGTGTGAATGAATCAAAATTATACCTATTTTTGTCAGATCAGCAAAAAATATATTTTTCAGTGGTCTGCAGAATTTCAGTAATTCATTTATGTGTGTCGTGAGATTTTTGAAAAAAGTTTGAAAATTGCTGTCATAGGCTAGCCATTCAGAGACTGGGATGGTGAATAGGCAAGCTCATCTTTTAAAAATATATACCAATATAATTCATACATTGCTATCCTAGACTTCTAACATGATATGATAAATGCATCAACAACATAAATAGGAAATATTTCAAGTCTATATGTTCTTTTGCACCTCGACAGCTGCCCACTCTTGCCTCTGGGTATTGATATAAAATCTTGGCTTCCCAGCATTTCCCATCAAATATAAATATCCCTGTTCTAAATCACTCCTCTGTGGGTGTATTAGCTCACACTTCCTAAAGAGGAAACTCTTTCGGACTCCATTAAGACACAGTCACACAGTTACTGGTAGAACTTCCCATTCGTTTCCACTTACAGATTTAATTAAAATGACATTTATCCTTTCTTCCTTGTCCTTAATAACCACATAGAGTTATAGCTTTTGGATTATTTTAATTATTGTAAAAAATGGTAGTATAAAGTATGAAATCCTTGATTTACACACTTTTCTTAACCTGCTATTTTAAATTTTCAATTCACAGAAGGAGAAACAGAGACTCAGAGAAATGAAGTACCTATCCAAAATGACGTGGTGCTTTAGAGGCTGCATCGAAACTAGAATTGGGTCTCCTGACCCTACAGCCAGAGCTTCTTGTAAATAATAGAAACTAGCCTGATTTTGGCTTAGTGTAGTAATACCCAGCAACATCCAGTGATCTCTATTGCCATCATTCATTCTGTAGCACTAGAGAGAAGAGAAACCCCTGGCAACTTAAAATAGCTCATAAACAAAACGGAGTTTAGGAAAATAGAGCGGCAACGTGTGGACTTGCTGGCCCTAAGGCAGGTGCTGGCAGAGTGCAGCAAGGTGCCAATACAGCATTTCAAAAGCATTTTGCAGACAGAGTCCATATGTTAGCTATAACCAAATCATGGGGCTTAACAGGTGAGACAGAGAGACAGGAATCTAAAAGCTTCAATGTCACACAGAGGTCTACTTCTTGTTTGTTTTATTGCAAAGATTCCATTTAAAGCAGAATCATTTGTCCTTTCCTCCTCTCTTGAGGTGCTATAATTACAGCCATGTTGTCTGTGAGAACCAAGAGTTCAATTCCCAGAGGTGTTCGCTGACTCCCAAGGCAGAGCCACGAAATGCATGAAAGCTAGCTGAACTGCAGGTGTGCTCCACTTTAACAGCAACTAATACAGAAGTGAAGACAGAAAACTGATACATTAGGAGGTGATGGCTTGTAATTACCACTGGTTTGCTGAAGGATTCTTTTACCAAGTACCCTTTCTTAGAGAAGTTTTAAATGTAGTTTATTTGTCAGTAGTTACAATTATATGTAAATGCTCAGAAATGCATTAGAAATAGGTCCAGTCTGATAATATTTGATCCTTTATGTGAAAATGGCCTTACCACAACCCACCACGGGAATAATTTTTCTCTTTTTCCCTGCTCTGTTTCTGAGGTAACTTCAGCAGAGGTCTAATGTACAATCTTTGGATGCTGAATTGGCAGTTCTGATGGAGGAGTGGGAAGAAGAAAGGAAATGGCCAGAAGTTGTTCTCCATCCTGGCCCCCAGGGTTGGTCTCATTAGCAGTGGTACCAGCTCAAACCACCTCCTCCTCCCCAGCCCATTCCCCCAAGTCTCACTCTCTGCCTCCCCCCGGAGCCCTACCACAGCTCTAGCAGTGAAATATCCAAACACTGCTCAATTCCTTTGTGGGCACAAAGTCCCACACTTACACTTATAAAGTTATAATCTTCCTCCTTCCCCTATCGACCTACCCCCAATGAATCTAAGTTGAGAGAAAGCAAAATAAAGATGCAGTATTGGCCCCGGTTGGTGTGGCTCAGTGGGTTAAGCACTGGTCTGCGAACCAAAGGGTCACCAGTTTGATTCCAAGTCAGGGCATGTGCCTGAGTTGCAAGCTCTGTCTTCAGTTGGGGGTATGCAAGAGGCAGCCAATTGATGTTTCTCTCGTAAATCGATGTTTCTCTCCCTTTCTTTTCCTCTCCCTTTCTTTCCCTCTCCCTTTCTTTCCCTCTCCCTTACCCTCTCTCTAAAAATAAATAAAATTTTTTTAAAAAGATGCAGTGTTGTATAGAGAGAGATTCAATGCTTAGACTCTGGACCCAGACTGCCTAGAATTTAATCTTGTCTCTGCAGCTTACTAACTACTGTATTTTTCAGACTATAAGACGCACTCTCCCCCAACCCAAATTTGGGAGGAATAATGGTTGTTAATGTTGCTGTTGAGTTCTGTTTACATTTACATTG